ATATTTCAGTGTTTTTAAATCCTGAAACATGTTTATGTCTGTCTGTAGCCAAAAAGTAGCACATGCAATATCAAACTAAGGCTGTGTTTGATGGCAGTGGCTGGTAAGCAGGAGCTAGCACACTTTGCCAAATAGGATTTTCTTAACTGGGTACTTTACTTTAAAACTAAGCACCTGCTTTAGTGAAATGAAGGCCAGATGAATTCAGTTAACCAAAAACCTTGCAAAACATCTGTTTTACTGCCATGCAAACCTCATTGTTATTGGAAGCAGTGTTTAGCTCTGAGGGTTTTATCCCACATACCAAGGCCCATACAATGACTTCATGCTGTTGATTAACAAATCCTCTTTAACAGGAAGACACGAGGCAGCCTGCGATCCCCAGCCCCAAAGCCATCTCATCCGCCTTCCACATGACTGTTTCCAAAACGCAACTAACTCATTTTACTACGACGTGGGCAAATGCCCGGCAAAGATCTGCGCTGGGAAGCTGGACAAGGGCCTGCGGTGCAAAGATAACACCGCTTACTGCTGCGGCGTCTCCAAAATGGAAACGAGACAGATCTCGTGCAACGGATACACGCTCCCAACCAAAGTCGCCGTAGAATGCGGTTGTAAAAAATGTACAGAGACCAAGAAAACGGTACGAGGCAGAGCCATAGCGGCAGACAACGGCGAGCCGCTGAGGTTTGGCCACATCTACATGGGCAACAAAAGAGTGAGTATGACCGGCTACAAGGGAACTTTCTCCGTCCACGTCCCCGCGGATACAGAGAGATTGGTTCTAACTTTCGTTGACCGACTGCAGAAGTTTGTGAATACGACCAAAGTCTTGCCATTCAATGAAAAGGGAGGGGCGGTGTTTCATGAAATCAAGTTACTAAGAAAGAAAGCCCCGGTCACCCTGGAATCCTCCGAAACCAACGTGATTTCGCTGGGAGAAATGGAAGATGATGATCCGATTGCTGAATTAGAAATCCCTCCCTATGCATTCTACAGGAAGAACGGAGAAGTCTACACGGGTAAAGTGAAAGCCAGTGTGACATTTCTGGACCCAAGAAACATCTCTACGGCTGATGTGACACAAAGTGACCTGAACTTCGTAGATGACGAAGGAGATGTATTCCCACTCCGTACATATGGCATGTTCTCAGTGGATTTCACTGACGAACTGGGCACTGAGTCTCTTAACGCGGAAGAGGTGAAGGTTCATTTGGACACTGCGCAGGTCAAGATGCCAGAGCACCTGGAAGAGATGAAGCTTTGGTCACTGAATCCAGAGACGGGATTATGGGAGGAAGAAGGAGACTTCAGCCTTGAAAAAAGCCGACGGCACAAGAGAGAGGAAAGAACGTTCTTGGTTGGGAACATGGAGATCAAAGAAAGGCGGCTTTTTAACCTGGATGTCCCAGAGAGCAGACGGTGCTATGTCAAAGTCCGAGCCTATCGAAGCGAGAGGTTTCTGCCGAGTGAGCAGATCCAAGGGGTAGTGATATCTGTTATAAACACAGAGCCAGAGCCAGGCTTCTCCTCCAACCCTAGAGCATGGGGTCGTTTCGACAGTGCGGTCACCGGTCCCAATGGTGCTTGCGTGCCGGCCTTCTGCGACGAGCAAAACCCGGAGGCCTACGCAGCTTATATCTTGGCAAGCATGGGGGGTGAAGAACTGGAAGCTGTAGCCTCTGCTCCTAAACTCAACCCTAACGTCGTTGGGGTCCCACAGCCATATCTCAACAAGCTCAATTACAGGAGGACAGACCATGAGGACTCGAACACCAAGAAAACTGCTTTCAGTATCAGCATGGCCAAGCCAAACCCCAACTCCCCAGAAGAGAACAACGGCCCTATTTACGCATACGAAAACCTAAGCGAATGCGAGGAAGCTCCATACAGTGCTGCTCATTTCAGATTTTATAGGGTAGAGGGAGACATGTATGACTACAATACCGTTCCCTTCAATGAAGACGACCTTATGAGCTGGACCGATGACTACCTGGCGTGGTGGCCCAAGCCCATGGAATTTAGGGCCTGCTACATTAAAGTAAAGATAAACGGACCCCAAGAGGTGAACGTAAGGTCTCGCAACATGGGCGGCACTCACCCGCGTACCATCGGCAAGCTCTACGGCATCCGAGACGTCCGCAGCATTCGTGCCCCCGGGCAGCCCAGCGTGTCGGCGGCCTGCCTGGAGTTCAAGTGCAGCGGCATGCTCTACGACCAGGACCGCGTGGACCGCACGCTCGTCAAGGTCGTCCCGCAAGGCAGCTGCCGCCGGGACAGCGTCAACAGCATGCTCCACGAGTACCTGGTGAACCACCTCCCCATGGCCACCAACAACGACTCCAGCGAATATACGATGCTGGCTCCTCTTGACCCGCTCGGGCATAACTACGGCATCTACACCGTGACCGACCAGGACCCGAGGATCGCCAAGGAAATCGCCCTGGGCAGGTGTTTTGATGGCACGTCCGATGGCACTTCCCGAACTATGAAGAGCGACATTGGTGTCGCGTTGACTTTCACCTGCTCGGAAAGGAGCGCGGCGGAGCAAAGCGCGTTCCAGTCGCAGAGGAACTCGGGCCAGCAGTCGCTCCTGGACCTGCCGAGGGAAAGCGCCGCGTTTCGAAGGCCGCAGGGAAGCCGCAGAATGACCCAAGGCAGGAGCCCCATGAGAGCTCAGCGCTCTCCGGCCTACTAGAGCTATGGCAGCCTCGGGAAAGTCACTCCCGTTTCATTAAATATGCTCTGAAAGGAATATCTACCTGCAAATAGTCTGTCTCAGCGCAGGTAGGTGTCATACTTTTGAGATATAATTAAGGTGTGCATTTTTTTATTTTGCATTGCACCAGGAAGGATGCACAGAAGGTAAAAATTGGGGGGTCAGTAGTTGTAGTGGGTTCCTATCTTAGTAAACAAGTCCATAAAAATCTTCTTTCTGCCTGACACTAAGCAGCTTCACACATTAGCCTAAAGGGAAAACTAAATACCTAACTGAATTAAATCATGTACATAAAACATTCTCCTGTTCTGCATCTGCAGACTTTGCCAGCCCAAGTACCTGTACAGTAGTTGGTAACTTGAAAAGGAATAAACTGATTTCCTCATACTGAATTCAACTGCAGTTTTTTACTTGAAATGTAAGTATTTTATTTATTTCTAGCTTGTTTTAGAGTGACTGTATTCGAGCTAAAGTACTGGCAGCTGCATTTCTAAAAAACTCACGTTTGATAGTGCGAAGAAACCACGTGCATTTCTAGGTTCCGCATGGATAAGATTGCAGCTTGCTCTTGCTCCTTGAGTCTTTGAGAAGAAAACCCATGCTCTAGAATAGGGCAGATTAATAAAAAAATAATAATTTTGTTACTTTGACAATGGCGTATTCCTTTTGTGTTTGATGTGTCCAAGTAAACAAACCACCCAGAGAGGAGTGAAGAAGAATGTGCTGAATTTCACAATCCCTTTCACAAACGGATCACAGCTATTTCAACATAAGGCCGGTCCTGGGTACGGCAGTCTGGGGGGTGGCTGGTGCAGGGGATCCAGAGCAGGACCAAGTGGAGGGACAGGGAGGAGGGCAGTTTCCCTCTGTATTTAGCAGCAGTGAGCAGGGCTCTTGGGCAAGAAGCTACTCTGATTTCAAGACTTTGATGGCCACAGAAGGGGTCCAAGAGCTACTGCTACAAGTCACTAGCCATTCTCATTGGCCTGGTTGCTTATCAAACCCTCATGAGTTCCCTCATCCACACCTAAAGACGAACCAAGTACCAGCTGAGAAATATTCCATGCTTTACACCCAAACCGACTGCTAGCCATGCACCGGGGTGCAGGCAAACCAGGAAGCCTCCAGCGCAGGGGTTTTCACTGCAGATCACCCAGATCCAGTGCAAGTGGATGAAAGCTCCATTTGGAATTCAGACTCATGCTCAGGTTCATTTTCTCTGTCCCACAACTGCTTCTCAAGTGTAGGGAGATGTTTTACATCTATTCCGAGCCCCATCTGTAGCTCACTGAGGCAGGGGGACCTTTCAGGAGCCTTTAACAAGCTCTGCAATGGGCTCTCACTTCTAACAGGGCATCTCAGGCATCAAGGACAGAGCTGTGCTGAACTCATTGCTTATACCTCAATAAAGGTAAATGTTGGAGGTGAAAAAAGGAAAAAAAAAAGAACTACAATCTGTGTTCTTACACAAATTGTCAATTACCAAAGAGAAGCAGAAAAGGAAGAGCTGCGGAATACTCTGGCACATCATCTTCATACCGATGAATTCAGCCTGTGTGTGTGTTTTCTTTTGTGTCTGGTCTGCTGCGATGGTCTGGCGCGCGCTCAGGCCAAGGCAGCCAGTGGGGAGCACGAGCTCGGACCGTCCCACCGAGCTCCTGGCTCGTGTTGCAGACGAGCAGAGAACTGGCTCTTCCCCTCCTCCTCCTCCTCCTCTGCAGGGCCGGGCAGCCAAATCCTGCTCTTGGTTTCATCACTTTGAGAGCAAAGTAACACAAATGACTTCTGCAGAGCAGCCCAGGAGTTACACGGCTGCAAACAGGCTCAGGATATGCTCCTTTTGCTGCACATTGGCTTCTCCGAGCCAAATGCTGCGGAGTTCAGGGCTGTTTGGAGAAAAAAAATGTTTAATAGCAATGGTCATAGTTTTAAAAGGCCTAAAATTCTGTCCATGAAACAGAAAGAAGCTCTGCAAGTTTCCCTGAACCATCCCTCTGCCGTGGCCACCAGCCTTGAGAAGCAGTTGGAAAGAGACAGAGCTCCCAAACACACCAGGTTAAGCTACTGGCAAAGCATCTTCTATTAAGGTCACTTAGCTTCCAAACCTCAGATAAACCCTGTGATCCAGCCCTCCCTCTTGTTTCCAGCAAAGGAAAAATGCGGCCTCCCAGAAGCTCTCGTGCTGCCAGCGTTCACGGCAAACAACACTCAGCTCATCTCACCCTCACATTATTCACAGATTTTTATAACCTGCTTTTCGGAAAGGCTTGGGTATTCCTCTAAATATAGTAGCCACTTGTATCTTTGGTTTACCTGCAATTTATTCAGGAATAATCTGGAATACAGAAGATTCCCAAGGACCGGGGGAGCAGCAGGATTTCTGGTTATGGAACAGATGTATCTGTTAATCATCAGCATATTAGAAAATATCACTTCCCCTATTTATTTGTAATTGACGATAATGTCATCCCTACCCAAAACCAGAGCTCTTCTGGTGATCAAAAGTTCTATAGGTCTACCAATAATAATTTGACTTCAAACTAAGCCTCAGGGAATACTGGCCTAGGAATACCTAGGCTACTTTTTCTCTCTCCTCCGAGAAAACAGCTGTTTTATTTCACTAGCATCAATTTTCAATTGCTACAGGGGCTGCGCTTGATCTCAGCAGCGATACTTGGAACTGAACCACAAGGTCTTTATTCCAGGGGCGACCCTGACGCGCCGCTCCGCACCTCATCAGCAAATGCCCCATTTCTGTTATGGGCTCTGCAAAAATAATCATTACCTACCGGGTTAAATCCCCGTGGAGCTAAGCGAAGGCAAAGTTTCCAAAGAGGCATTTTGACTAAAAGAGGCATTTTGACTAACCGGGGAACACTAATTCCCTTTAAAGCTTCTTTACTACATCATAAATACCATGCCAAAGATTTTCTCCATAAAAACAAATACATTTTACTCTCTTTTCCTCCCTAAAATTACGGGACATGTGCATTTTCACAGCTAAGACATTAACTGTTAATCAAAAAAAACCTGTCTAATCTTTGCTATCTTATTGTATAGAAATTCTGAGAAGCTTTAAAGACAATTCTGCACAGATCAAAGATTAAATTACGTCCACAAATAACGCATCCTGGCTACAACATGGTTTAAGTGTTACTGGTATTAAAGAACCGAAGACTTTCTGAACTAGCTTTTAATTTCGTGAACTTTTGCCCAGCTGATGCTGTTTTTTTTCCCTAAAAGAGATGCAGAGGGCACCATCTACCGGGTGTCTGCCTGAACTCCGCTTCGGACTTGCAGAACATCCATGGAAACTCTTCGCTATTACTACAGATTTTAGCTGGGCCCAAAACTAGCTCTTGCCAGCAATGACCAACAACAACATATTCCAAACACGGTGCAATCCAGAACTGTCACCAAGAGATGCAGGAATTACCCCACGAGTCCTCTCTAACGCTAACATTCAATACACACATTGCTACTTGGAGGATGATATTCCAGCTAGCAGTGTTATGACCACATTGCGTTAATTTTACATTTTTTACAATTATTTCCCTTTGCTATCAACTTTCTGATGTCAGTGCATTATTAAAAAAATAAAAAAGCAGTGGAGCCACCAAGAAGTTTTCTCAAAAATCATTCCTAGGAGCTCAGCAGATGAGTTACCTGGAGCAGTGTCAAAAACGTCACTGTCTGACGGGATGCAGCTCTAAGTGTTTTTGTCCTCAAATATCCTCATTTGGAAACATTAGAAATTGATGCCTGCAATATATATTTTTTTTTAATTAAAAAAAATCCCACTCCATTCTATTGGCATGGGCTGTTATCTAACCTTTCATGGAAAGGCTAATGTGAACAGATTAAAGCAAAAGGAAATCACAGCCTTTACTTGCACGTAGCAGATGGGAGGCAGCAAAGCAATAAAACAGAACATTTGCTTGGAATTTGTTGTCAATTTTTAAGTTTCTGGAGCACAAATTCCACCCTTAAGTCTAAAGGAAGTCCAAAGGAGCCCAGTTTTCACCTTCCTGTTGTTTCCAGCTTTGGGCTCTGATTCACAGGCTTGGATTTCTCGGAGGATCAACCTGTCAGAGGCAAATTAATTGTTGGACTAATGTCAAAGAACAAAAAATACTGCAGCATCTGCTCTAGCAGATGCTTCTTTAAAAGCATTTTAGCCACGTTACAACTGATTTTCTGAATTTTGTTTTTCATTGAGTCTCATTCAAGTGTGTAAAGCTCCTGCCACCTTGATATAAAACCCATTCAAAGTGAATTCAATACATGACATTAGCTCTAAATTTCAGACGCGAGCCCTTGAAAAGACATGAATTCATTCAAGTCTCAACAGCCCAAAGGACCCATGGAAGCATCCTGAGCACAAAGTGCTGCGAGTGTTGAGCAGCATGAAGAAAACAGAGCCTTAGTGACAGCCCAGCCTGCCTTTAAATTTTAGGCTTCCCATTTTTCAGCGATTATTCTGCAAAACTTCTCCAAATGTCTGCCTGTTGCTTTGCTCTTACTCTCACAGGGCCACATTACTTCTGAGAGAATACTTCTAATAAGTAAAAAAAGAAAAACATTCATCAGCTCTGCGGTTCTTCACATGAAACATTCCTCTTTGGACCTGCCTGTGAGCCAAAGGCAGGTTGAGGAAAAGCTTGGAGCAAGTAACTCCGACAGGTAAAAATATCATCGGATATAAAGGCTAACCATAGAATATGAATTTTCTGAGTGGACGTCACTAGTTAAGTGATATATGTTCTAAGATATGGAAAAAGAGAAGGAAGAGATGGCAATCGATGTAAGTAAAATACATCTATGATCTAAAATACATCATCGATCTTGATAGGAAAAGAAAAGCTACCTATTACTGACAGTATTTTCAAACCCAGAAGGCTGAAAAAAAACAACAGGGTGTTCGTAAGAGGGCTGGATTAAAAAAAAAAAAAAAACCACTCCTGATTGACCTATAAACCCCCCTTAAAATACATCATCGATCTTGATAGGAAAAGAAAAGCTACCTATTACTGACAGTATTTTCAAACCCAGAAGGCTGAAAAAAAACAACAGGGTGTTCGTAAGAGGGCTGGATTAAAAAAAAAAAAAAAACCTACTCTGATTAGCCTATAAACCCCCTCTAAATCTGAGATTTAGTGAAACTGAATTCCAACAATAAAAGTACTGGTAAATAAGACACTACACTAAGAGCATGCAGGAAGATACAGATAAATAAACCAACTGGCAATGACTATTGGGTCAAGCTAAAAAGACAAAAAACTCTTGAGTTTCCATGAATCAGGGACAACTATGTCATTTCAGATCACCAGATTTTTCTTCTTCTTTAAGTCCACTACAAAGTCGCTCAGGGACATTATTATAGAAGTGATAAGAATGCAGATACAGCAGAGATCTGATGGGATGAAACATGCAGTACTGCAAGACAATTATAACTAAGGAATCAGCAACATGGAGTATCAATAAAGTCTGTTAACCAGTTCTTAATTCAATTAACTGAAATATCTAATAGCGCAACACGGAGGAATTCTCTTTGCATAAGATCAACGCAAGGTTTGAAATTATTCAGTATTTCCATCAAGCACCTGAAAGCTGTTTCGTAACATCATAAAGCTACTGATGGTAAAAGAAAATATGGCTAAGAATAGAAAGGTAAAAAGGACAAATTGCTCAGGAAACGCCACACAGCAAACCAGAGATATGTGAAGGCACACAGCTCCAGGTGATGCATGGTATCTACAACCTGAGGTCAAATTCCAGTCATAGACATGGGACAACTGTGTGTTAAAAGCAGCTAACTCTTAAGAAAATTATCATGCAGAGGTAGATATTCCATCTGTTGTTTCTGCAGATGTAACTTATGCCTTGGGTAGGAACTTGTTCCAACACAGGAATAAAAAAGTAAAGTTTAAGGGCCCACAAGAACCTCAAATTGGACAATGCAAGAGGTTCAGTTAACATTAAACTTGGAAGCAGAACAGATATCCTGTCCAAATCCCATCTGTTAAATTCACTAGGAGTTTTCCCACTGATACATATGACAAAACTGTAACTAAAAGATGGAGCAGATGCTCTTTTGCCAGAAATCCTATCGGCGCTGAAGACGCTTGACGTAAATGACTCGCAGTGAAACCGGCTTCTGTCGGGCAATTGATTTTAAAACTTCTATATTAAAGTAACTGTGTACAGTAAAGTAACTGTGTACAGTTTATGCCTCAAGAAAGTTGCACTAAACTCCCTTCTAATAAGATAAAAACATTGTACAAAAAATTATGCATGATCAAAATCAGAAAAATTTATTCAGCGTTCGCAGAGATTCTCTTCCTTCGTGAAAAGGATGAAGATTGTCAGAAACCCACAATGAAAACATGTAGGTGATAGGAAAATCAAACCTTCTGGACAGGAAAACCAAATTTACCATTATGTGGTGAGAATTAAAATATTCTACATTACTAATAAATTACAGACATCCTTTTCAACATTTTAAAATATTTATTGGTTTATATCCCGTGCCGGTATTTTCCTCTCTTTCAGAGTCTCTTTTGTTGTGTTAAGTTTGAGTGTTTGAAACCTGCACTCCTGATGAACTGCTTTTGAGCCCTGCTGGAACCAGGAGTGCATATATCCATTATAGAAGTCAGTTGCTGAAAGCTTCTTCTTTAATATAACTGCTTTGATTCCAACCCAGCCTTCCTAAAAAATAGTAATAAAAAAATAGTCAGTAAGCCTCTTCTAAAGTTTAAAAGAATTAACTTTAGCTCTTATTGTTGACTACATTACAGAACGTTTCATCAAGTTTATATTGAGTCAAATTGTCACTTGCAAATGAAAAGCCTGTTAGGTGAAATTTAGAGCCAGTCTGTTTATTTGATAGAACTCTTATCTAAACTAGTTTGTGGATAATGACAGACAAATAAGACAAAGTTTTAAAAAAAAAAAAAAAAAATGCAAATGAAAAGCCTGTTAGCTGAAATTTAGAGGCAGTCTGTTTATTTGATAGAACTCTATCCACAAACTAGTTTTGATAAATGACAGACAAATAAGATAAAGGTTTAAAAAAAAAAAAAAAAACACACACACACACACCTACCTTCAGGCCAGTGAATATCAAATAAAGGCAAAAACTTACCTTGCAACGAGCTATCAGTGTTTGGGACAGTTTATGGTATAGCAGTGAACCAGGAACAGCTCCAAGATCATTTAATACTTCATCTGAAAATAAAGATTGCCTCATATTTCTATGCAAACAAGCAAAAAAATTTGAAGTACTACAATGTCTCTTTGAAACAGTGTAATTATCTCAAATTATTATGATGCTCAAAAATATTCTGTTGTGTTCTGTGCTGTATTTTACCCAAATGAGTAGGAGAGAATGAGAACAGGGTGGATGTGACTCATGAATAGCAGTCACTCTCTAGCCCTCTCATCGACAAACACTCATTAAACCCTCTGTACTCTTGCAGACACCAACAGAGCCCAAAGCTCTCAGACTTAAAGGCCACTAGAAATTATTTCAGCAAAAATATGCAGGGATGTCTTCTCTTGTGAGATCCTTGGGCACTAGCATTAGAAGAGGATCTCCAGAGTAATTAGAAGGTTAGAAACTCCTAATCTCAGGATTCACATGACTATGCCTGCTCCTCCTTCAACATCACCACCAAGCAGACATGTCCTTAAACTCTGTCTTACCCCCAGGGTGTAAGAATTTTCTGTGCCTCAGGATGAGTATTTGAGATTGACTTAGTCCTTTAGAGTTTCAGGAATCAGTTATTTAGAGTCACCATCTAGTACAACTGTGAATAATCTTTAAGTTAAGATAATGCTTAAAAAGCCACAAGAATTTAACAGATTAAATTTAAAAGTAAATACCAGCAAGACCAGGGATATTATGCACTTCCACAAAATCCAGAAGTTTAACAGTACTACCCTTCCAGAGCGTCTGCAAAGGAAACTGGAAACAAGATGACACACTGAGAATATTTTCATGATTTCCAGGTAATTGTATAGCTTTTTTTTCTTATGCAAGATACCTGTGGCAATAGCATTAGTGGAAAGTTTAGGTATTAGAGCCAGATAAAAGACTCTTAACTAGATATAGTTTTCCATGTTCTTTGTCATCTTGACAAACAAACTACTAGCATATGTATAAGTTAAACAGCTACCTATGGCAGCTGTTTGGTTGCACTGTATGTTGTTATGCAAAGATAACTTTATAGCATTCTGAAATTCCCCCAAATGTGTCAGAAGTAAGGAAAAAAAACAAAGCTATGTAGCTAATTTAAGGCTTGGGATCAAGTTCAAGAAAATTCTGCTTGGCTTTAACCCCATTTGTGAAACTAAACTGCCCTGGCATTTTAAACAGACTCTAGGTAGCAGCTAAAATAACTAAATAGCCTACGAGTTTTAGTTATTAGTTAAAACATAAAGCAAAGACTGAAGACAGAAGGCAGATTTGAAAGCAAACAAAGAAAAAGCTGCTGCTTTACCATACTTCCTATGGCACGATGCAGCTGTATTACTTGCACAGCCGTTTGTTCTTCCCATTTTACACAACTCCTGGCTATCGTTATTTTAGGAGCTAAGAAAATAAAACAAGAAAGTAGAAGACTTGTTATACCTTAGCCCCTTTTTTTGCAGACAAGTAATTGTACTGATTTTATCCTGGTCAATGGCACGTTTACAATCTAGCCACAGGCAACATACACAGCTACTAAAGTGGATTGCTTAAAAGTCTGAAACTGGTTTATTTATATGCTCTTTTCTGAGTTGCCCTCTTATTTAACCATTGCTCTACAAGCTGGTGATTCATATTTATGGGCACAACTGAGCACTTTCTACATACACAAGGAATAAGAAACTGACGTGGATTTTGTGACATTGCTAGGTATTTTCAAATTGCCTGTATAACTGGAAAAAAAAAGAAAAAAAAAAACAGCAACATAGAAAAGAAATTCCAAAGCATTCTTCCCCTCTGCTTTTCTTTTTTTTTTTTAAAGAAAAAAAGAGAAGGCACAGAAGGCAATGAAGGGACCATACTGAGAAGGATGTCTGAAAAATATAACCCAGCACAGCAGGAAGCAACTTAATTTCTCTAGCTGATTAAAAAAAGAAGAAAATTAAAGCAAGTTGCATTAAATATGCTGTATACCTACCAAACGTTACCCCTTCTTTTGGTTGCTCTTTTTTATTTTTTAAACTTTCAGGTAAATTTCTCAAGACACTAATGAGCTGCAAAAAAAAATATTGATATTAACAAATCTAGGAGTATTAATATTATACTTATTAGCAATAACAGTAAGTACAATGCAATACGTACAAAACAATGCGTCACTTTCATCAGTGAAAGTTTCTCAGGAGTTTTTAGAAATTCCTGTCACTACAATCAGCAAACACATCATACACACAAATACACCAAAGGCTGTTTGCCCCACTGAATTATAATTAAAGAACAAATATTGTTTTATGAATAGTCTGTTCACTGACAGCAATCCTAGAATAGCCGGAAAGCTGATTTTTAGAGACAAAAAGAGTAGATCTTTACTTCAAAATGAAATAAGTAACCGAATTGTTTCCACACAAAGCACCTGGGTTCTTCTTTAGATAGAAATAAAATGGCAACAAAAGTGCAAAAAGAGCTGTGTAAATTTACCATTTTTGCACCCATCTGTGATAGCATCATTTCTAGCTCCTTTGCAGTACAGCGGGGAGGAATAGTGACCTCTTCTTGCTTAATAATTGGACCCACATCAAACCTGCAGAGGAGAAAGCATACAGGAGAAAAAACCTTAACTAACAGTTACAGATGTGTATATTAAATCCATTATTTCAGCTACCAATTACTATTGAAAATTTTAAAATTAAATGATGGGTTCACAGGACAATACAGAACAGAAAATCAAATTTATAGACGCAAGCTAGGATACATATACACACAATTTTCAGATCAGAAGTACAAAATCTCTGAATAAACAACCTGAAATCTTCAAATGAAATTTTGCGTGATCCTGAGAGCTGTTATCGGATAAGCACAGAACAAAAACAGCCAAAAAGGCCATGTGGATGTGCAGAGAGCTGTGCAACTGCTTGCTCTCTACAACCCCACTGCAATAATGCTATGAATTAGAGATGACACCTGTGATTACTACCACTAGAATTATCAGCATGGTCTAAACAAGCTGAAGACACTAAAACTGCACTTGAGACCTCTAAAATAGAAAGGTACTTTTCAATATAATTTATAAATCACTGCACTCTCTGCTGTGTTTACTTCAGAAGCAAAATACACATTTTGAGAAGCAGGTTACTAGGAAGCAATCTATACAAAACAGCAGTACTTGATCTGCATGGCTACTGGACATATGAATCCCTAAAGACTATACCTTAAAAAAATAATAATTTCATGCAGCAGCCTAGGGGGGCAAATTATGTACTCAGTCAAAGACTGTATTTGTGATGAATCTCAGATGTCCAAGAGAAAAATCAGAAATTAAAAAATCAGAAATCATTTCAAATATGCATCCTAAAAAAAAAAAAGGCTTGTGAAAGTTTTTTTTTTAAATGATGACTTAAGTAGTGACAACTTAAATTCCCGAGAAGCAACAATTACAGAGACTTGTTTAGCAAAACATGTCTAACGTACCTTTTTGGTCTGATTTCCATAATTGTCACCCCAGTTACTTTGTCACCGTGCAGCACTGCGTGGACTATCGGTGCAGGACCGCGCCATCGTGGGAGGCAGCTGGGATGGATATTCAGCACCCCACTGAACGGAAATATGGGAAGAAGAACAGAAAATCATATAAATAGGCATTGGATATTTAGTTTAATAATTTTCAATAGGGAAACTATTTTAGAAATTACCTACTCGGACCATTTGAAATGTTACTGTTTAAAATATACACTTAGAGGAAAATTCCTAATACATAACCCTCAGTTCCTCAGTGAGCACAGAAAGGGTGAGGAGAGGGAAAAGGGAGCGAATTACACTGGGATTTGCCTGCATGATGAAGAGCAGCAAAACCCGCAGTGGCAGAAGCAGGACTTGGCCTCAGCAGGGAAGAAGCTCAGCTTAGCTGTGACCAGTCACACACAGAATACAGCGAGGGTCAAAAACACAGCAAAGGAAACGGGGACAGCTGTCCCCCCCGCTCACTTACTAGGGGAACTGCAGAATGAGGTCCTCGCTCAGGAGCCGCCCGAAGGAGGCCACGACGCCCACGTCGAAGGCGCCGCGCGGCCCCGCGTGCGGCCACTCGTGCGTGGGCAGG